CACTGCAGCACTATTTGTTGTGTCTTTGTTACACTTGATCCAATAAATCGGCTGCTATTCCTCACAGCCAATCAAGACACAAGAGGCAGAGACTGGGAGGAAATGGAGTGTTTAATTTACATAACCAGGTTGTAGGGAGACGGGTTGGCATCATTGCTAAGAAACCTCTTCAAAACAATATAAATTCATTTTAGCAATTATACCCAAAATTCATAGCTCTTCACCCACCCCGAGTTTGAAGTCTATGCATGGTTTTAGCATGACTCAAAACTTACATGAACAACTTTTGATATGTGACCATTGATGTGGCACAAAGTCTCCTGGTCATGCTGACATTCTTAGATAACATTTTGGAATTTACAATAAGTTCTTTTACAGTTTTTTTTTAGAAGAAGGGGCAGATAATTGCAATATTTGGATGGAACCCATAATAGTGACAATCTTTTATTTTCAGAGCCCTGACCCCTAACAGTCCAATGTCCTTGCACTCACAGATGGAGGGAGGTGTGCAGTGCCCACTCCAAGCTTTCAGACATACTCCTGCCGGCCGTGGACCACTCTTCTTATCATTAGGTGCCCTGGCTTGCTGGCTGTTTTTTCTTCAGCACCAGCAATGGCTACCAGATAGGGAGGGCCAGTTGGGCAAGGCCGTGCGGGGGTGGGGTGAATAGGAAAGATGTCAACTTTTGAATCCAAGTGGTTTTGACATTTAGCCCAACTCATCAACAAAAGAATACAAGTTTTAAAGACTTCTAAATGACTGTTTTAATATCACCAAAGTGGCCTCTTTCAACCTGTGACATACATCTTCACGTGGTCTTTTCTCTATGCATGCACAGAGACATTAGATGGCGTCTCTTTGTGTATCTAAATTTCCTCTCCTTTTAAGGACATCAGTCAGATGGGATTAGGGCTCACTCAACTGCCTTCACTTAACTTAACCTCTTTAAAGCCCCCATTTCAAAGACAGTCATATTAGGAGATACTAAAGGTTAAAACTTCAACATAAGAAATCTGAAGAGAACGTAATTCAGCCTGTAACTATGGATTTTTGGGAGAAATATGTTTTATTATTTTTTTAATATATATATATTTCACTTTTGAACTCTTTAATTTTTTTAAACGTATTTTTTATTTTAAAACTGTGGAGTACAGTTAAGGGTTAGGTATTACAAATATGCATTGTGCAGGTGCCCATGTTGATGAGGCGTGCCCCCCCATCTCCAGACAGATATCGACTACCGTTCATCCCACTTCCCTTCCCTTCCCTGTCCCCCCCCATAGTTTCCCATCCCTGTTAGTCCTTTTCTTATAGTGTTACGGTAGTTGTTCAAGGTCCACTTATGAGTGAGAACATGTGATGCTCAGATCTTTGTTTCTGTGAGGGTTCACTCAGTATTAGAGACTCTAATTCCATCCAGGTTGCTGCGAAATTCATGATTTTGTTCTTTTTTTATGGCTGCATAATATTCCACTATGTATATGTACCACATTTCAAAAATCCAGTCCTCTTTTGATGGACAGCGTAGTTGGTTCCATGATCTTGCTATTGTGAACAATGCTGCAATAAACATATCTGTGCGGGTATCTTTTTTATAGAGTGATTTGAGTTCTTCAGGGTATATTCCCAGTAGGGGGATTGCGGGGTCATGTGGGAGGTCGATGTTTAGAGCTTTTAGGAATTGCCACACTGATTTCCACAGAGGCTGTACTGGTTTACACTTCCACCAACAGTGTAGAAGTGTTCACTTTTCACCATATCCTCTCCAGCATCTGTTATTTTTCCAGTTATTGATGATGGCCATTCTGACTGGAGTTAGGTGGTATCTCAGTGTAGTTTTAATTTGCATCTCCTTGATGACTAGTGAGGTTGAACATTTCTTCATGTATCTGTTGGTCACTCGTATGTCTTCTTTTGACAAGTGTCTGTTTATATCTTTTGCCCACTTTGTAATGGGGTTGTTTGTTTTTTTCTTTTCAGCACATTTGAGTTCCTTGTAGATCCTTGATGTTAGGCCTTTGTCAGACATGGAGTTGGCAAATACTGTTTCCCAGTCTGTGGGCTGTCTCCCTGCTCTCTTGATGGTTTCTTTGGCTTTGCAGAAGCTTGTCAGTTTAATGAGGTCCCACTTGTCTATCTTATCTCTTATGGCCTGGGCACTTCGGGTTTTGTTCAGGAATTGGATGCCAGTTCCAACTTCCATAAGGGTGTGTCCTGCATTTTCTAAGGTTCTTATGGTTTGAGGTTTTACATTTAGGTCTCTGATCCATTTTGAGTTAATTTTTGTGTATGGGGATAGATAGGGGTCTTGTTTGAGTCTTCTGCATGTAGTCAGCCAGTTTTCCCAGCACCATTTACTGAATAGGTTCTTCTCTCCCCAATGGTTCGTGGTGCTTTGTCGAAGATAAGTAGGGTGCTTTGTCGAAGATAAGTAGGTTGAGAAATTGAGGTTTTGTAAGAAAACTTTTGTAAATTTTTTTTTGCTTATAAGCAAAGATTAGAGCATTTCTAGCTGATATAAAATCCACTCTTCTAATAGAGATGAGGCATCCTGCATAAATGCATAGTTCATACATCATAAGTACAAGAGAAAGAAAAAAAAGTGTGGCCATTTTGCCTTCTTCCTCACTCCTCATCCTGGACCTTCTGCATCTGGCCATAGCATGGACTGTTTTGTCCTTGCTGGGCTCTCCTTTCCCTGCATAATCACTAAAGCCCAGACTCCTCCAGTGGAGTTGAGGGTGTGGAAAGGAGGCAAGTCCCACTTTCTCATCCCAGAATCATTCTTTTCTCCTCTCTTCTCTGGTACAGAACTCACCCACATAGACCTTGGGTGCACAGGGCAACCCAGAGAGAGGCAGTTGGCTCCAACTGCAAGGCCTTGAAGACATCTTTTTTTTTTTTTGAGTTGGAGTCTCACTCCTTTGCCCAGGCTGGAGTGCAGTGGCATGCTCATGGCCACCCCAGCATTGACCTACTGGGCTCGGGCAATCCTTCCGCCTCAGCCTTGCAAGTAGTTGGAACACAGTGCACCCGGCTAAGTTTTTTGATTTATTGTAGAGACGAAGTCTCGCCAAGTTGCCTGTGCTGGTCTCAAACCCGGGTTTAGGCAATTCACTCACCTTGGCCTCCCAAAGTGCTGGGATTACAGGTTGAGCCACTGAGACCAACCCAGAGCCATCTTGAGGGGTGAGGTTTATGCTAACCAGATCTGAATTAATTCTTCCTATAAGTCAAGCACTGTTCTGAGTGGTTTCCAATCTTTCATTCATTGAATTCTTATTATTCCCCAATAAGATGGGTAGTATTGTTTCACCATTTTGCAGATAAGGAAGTTGAGGTACAAAGCAGTTGAATACATGCCATTTTTTTTGAGTCAGGCTCTCACTCTGTCACTTAGGCTGGAGTCCAGTGGCATGATCAGGGCTCACTGCAGCCTCAACCTGCTGGGCTCAGGTGATCCTTCCATCTCAGTCTTCCTAGTAGCTGGAACTACAGGTGCATGCCACCACACCTGGCTAATTTTTTGATTTATTGTAGAGATGAGGTCTCACCAAGTTCTCCAGGTTGGTCTCGAACTTCTGGGCTCAGGCAATACTCTCACTTCCGCCTCCCAAAGTGCTGGGATCACAGGTATGAACCACTGCACCTGACTTATTATTACTATTATTATTATTTACTTATTTTTTTGAGTTGGAGTCTCACTGTGTCTCCCAGGCTGGAGTGCAGTGGCATGCACGCTCATGGCCACCCCAGTGTTGACCTGCTGGGCTCTGGTGATCCTTCTGCCTCAGTCTTCCAAGTAGCTAGAACTACAGGTGCACGCTACCATTTCCGGCTAATTTTTGATTTTTGATTGTAGAGACGAGGTCTTGCTAAGTTGCCCGGGTTCATCTTGAACCTGTGATCTCAGGCAATCCACTTGCCTTGGCCTCTCAAAGTGCTGGGATTACAGGCTGAGCCACCTAGCCTAGCCAAATTCTTTTTTTGAGTTGGAGTCTCACTCCATTACCCAGTCTGGAGTGCAGTGGTATGCTCACAGCCACCACAGCCTCAACCTGCTGGGCTTAGGTGATCCTTCCACCTCAGCCTTCCAAGTAGCTGGAACTACAGACATACACTGCCATACTTGGTTAGTTTTTGTGATTTATTGTAGAGATGAGGTCTCACCAAGTTGCCCAGGTTGGTCTCGAACTCCAAGGCTCAGGCAATCTTCTTGCCTTGGCCTCCTATAATGCTGGGATTATAGGCTGAGAACCATGCCCGGTCTATTATTTTTAATAACAGGTAGTCTCACACTAAATAATACAAAAATGCCTTCTGAGTTCAATATGGATGGTTTATTGTTTTTAAATTGCTTATATGACAAACTCTTCTTGTTGATGAACCAACTTCATGAAACTGGAATCCCAGTGAAAGATAAACTCATCTGAAGAGAAAGATGCCTCTCCCAGTGAGTTATCCATTCTTCTAGATTCATTTTGGAGTACACCAGTCCCTTGGGGCACAGTGGAACATCTTAAGCTCTATAGTGGTTAAATAATACAGAAGTATATATTATATTTTTAAATAATATATAAAAATAAATAATTGCCAATGTTTATATTTTCCTTGTATTAAAATTCCATGGAAATGGGGTTTTTGAAGCAAATAGGATAATCCTTCTATAGGATTTATACTTTTACTCTTTTACTTTTACTCTTTTACTTTTACTCTTTATACTTTTACTCTTGTCATTTATTGATGAATAAAACATATACTGTAAGACAAAAGGGGGGAGGTCACTGAATATGTTTGGCATGCTTACCAATTTTTTGTGTTTAATAAAGACACATTAAAAAATATAAAAGAAGAGAAAATTAAGAAAATAAAAAGGATAGAGGAAATCAAAAGGCAGATAAAGATGGAAAATCACAATGAATATGCATAAAGGTAGGGTGCAGATAGTGTCAGATCCATGTAAGAAAACACTCTTTGATTGGTTTGGAAATGGATCTTCTTAGTGCTGCTGTCTCCCTTGCGTCCTCCAAGGAGTTTTGTTGGCCTCCACAAGTCCTGACCCATATCTGCCTTCAGGCATTTGCCTGCAGCCACTGGGTGTTTGTCCAAAGGTCCATTCCGCCTGACATTTTTGTTTTCCCCAGCTAGGCTCGGCCAAGTTTGGCCAGCCCTCCTGGTGTGGCATCCTTTGGTTGTGCCAGTGTTCGGCCAATACTGCCAAGAGAGCCATGAGGACCAGTCCAGCCATGCCGAGGCGGATCAAATTCCACAGTGTGTAATCTTGATTAATGGCATCTAGAGACATAAATCAGAGAGGTAAATGATTGTTGGTTGCATTCCAGTTCATCCCAACCCCAGTAACAGGAGGTCATGTCCCTATTCACTTGCCAAAATGTGGTTCCCTCAGACCTCCTCTTCGAGGAGTTCATGTTTCACAAGCATGGTACTTATCAGTCTAAAGCCTGCGTCCAAGGGCAGGGGGATGTGGCTCCCAGGGGAATCTTGTAAACAGAGGAAGGTGTCATGATGGGGGGGTTGTGTTTTCTTTTCATTCTCTCCTCCAACTTGGTGATTTCGCCAAATATCTAATCGCTTCTCTGCTATACCTCCAAATAACCAGAACCCCAAATTCTCTTATCTGTCCTCACCTTACAGAAAGTTTGTGTTTCTTTCATACAAAGCAAGGGATACAGCACCATTGGTACCTGGAAAGTAGGTGGGAGGCAAATTTCAGATAAACTTAGGTAAACTGTATCTCCACTATTGTGTGACCTTTGCTTGACATTACTTTTCTCTGTAACTTTTTTCTTTCTTTGTTTGTTATAATGACTAAATAGTCTATGTTATTCTCAAGGATATCCTATAATAACACTGAAATTATGATGCTTGAAAATCCTAGTAAATATCCTCCTTTAAAAATACAAAAATCAATTCCAGATGGATTAGAGATCTAAAAAATGCGAAATGTTTCAAGTTGAGAAAATAATACAGAAAGAAATAATCATGAGGCTGGAATAGGAGATAATTTTTTTTTTGAGTAGCATGATCATAGTCATCACAGCCTCAACCTCTTGGGTGCAGGTGAGTCTTCTGCCTCAGCCTCCTAAGTAGTCAGTTGGGACTACAGGTGCATGCCACCAGGCCTGGCCAATTAATTTTTTGTAGAGATCAGGCCTCACTATGTTACCTCATCTTGAACTCCTAGGCTCAAGTAAAACTCTTGGCTTGGCCTCCCAAAGTGCTGGCATTTACAGGTATGAGCCACTGCACCTGGTCAAAAAGGAGATAATTTCTAAAACAAGATACAGTAGATACTCTAAAGGAAGAGATTAACAAATTCAACCAAGTTAAGTTTTGTTTTATTGACTGAGTTGGAGTCTCACTCTATTGCTCAGGCTGGAGTGCAGTGGCACGCTCATGGCTACTATAGCCTTGACCTGCTGGGCATAGGCAATCCTTTGCCTCAGCCTTCCAAGTAGCTTGAACTACAGGTGCATGCCACCATGCTCTATTAATCTTTTGATGTATTGTAGAGATGAGGTCTTGCTAAGTTGTTTAGGCTGGTCTTGAACCCCTGGACTCAGGCAATCATTGCCTCTGCCTCCCAAAGTGCTGGAATTATAGGTGTGAGCCACCATGCTCAGCCAAAGTAAGTTTGAAAACTAATTTCCATCAAAATAAATCATAGGGAAAGGGAAAAACAAATTTATGACGCCTATAACTAAAAAAGAATCAAGAATTAAAAAATATCCCACTATACATCAAATCCAACCAATTAACACAAGTGAGACTATATAAGAATGGGAAAAACACATGAACAAGCATTTCACAAAGAGATGAGTTAAATATACATGTCAATATGTGCTTAACTATCAGTCAAGGAAAGGTAAATTAAAGCTAAAACAAGCTATCTTTTCTTGCTCTTGATTTAAAAATATTAAATCCCTAACAAATCACAGTGATGGGAAGAATACGAAGCAGAAAGCATTCTCATACACTGCTGATAGGAGTGTGGATTGGTACAATCTCCTTGGAAGATGGTTGGCATCATGTGGCATCAACAGTCATGTGCATATCCTATAAATCAGCAATTCTGCTCATTAGGTATGTCCTAAAGGAGAGAGTCAGCAAACCATGGCCCATAGGTCAAATCCAGCTCACTGCCTGTTTTTGTATGGTCCATGAGCTAAGCATGTTTTTTGTAAGTCATTGAAAAAAACTAAAAGAAGAATATTAATATTTCAGGACATACAAAAATGTTATGACATTCAAATATCAGCACCCTTAAAGATTTATTGTAATGCAACATGCTTATTCATTTACATCTTGCCTGCAACTGCATTCATTCTGTGGAAGTAGCATTGAGCAGTTGCCACTGAGATCGTAAGATTTGCAGAATTGAAGATATTTATGCTTTGACCTGTTATCAAAGAAGTTTGCCAGTCTTTGTGCTAATAGAACATAGGTGCTTAGATACAATAGGACACTTGCACAAGTCTTTTCATATTAACCTTGTTTGTGATAGTGAAACCACTGGATAATACAAATTCATATCAGCATTACTTTGAAAAAAATTTTTTTTTGAGTTGGAGTCTTACTCCGTTGCCAGACTGGAGTGCAGTGGCATGCTCATGGCCACCACAGCCTTGGCTTCTGGGCTCAGGTGATCCTTCCACCTCAACCTTCCAAGCAGCTGGAACTACAGGTGTGTGGCACCATGCCCCACTCATTTTTTGATTTATTGTAGGGGTGAGGTCTCTCTAAGTTGCCCAGGCTGGTCTAGAACCCCTGGACTTAGACAAACCTCTCACCTCAGACTCCCAAAGTGCTGGGATTATAGGCATGAGCCACTGTGCCCAGCCCACATCAGCATACTTTTGATAAAATGTTATACACTCTCTCAATAGAAGACTTATTGCCATTGAAAATGGATGAAATTCAGGTGAAATAATAAAAATAAATACATCTTTTACATATAAAGATAAATAAAAACAAATATGCCTGTGTGTATCCTGTAGTCCATTTACACCAATTGCAAACTCTACCAAAGTAAGCAATTCATTGTCTAGAGACATGTGGATCCCAAAAATGCATTAAAAATAAAGGCAAGATCCATCCCCCAAACAACATTGTTTCTCTCCAGGGAAAGTAGGAGGAGAATTCTATGGGGAATGGGGTTTAGGGTCCTACAGCGATTGCAATTCTTTCTTTTTTTTTTTTTTGAAAGCAGGATTGTTGAGAGGACAGAAAAGTTCCCACAGTGGGAGGGGAACTGAGGGGTTGCCCAATTCTTTGTTTCTTAATATGGGCGATAGTCTACAAATGTATGTATCCATATAACATGCTATGATTCACCATATCAAGATGTTAAAAATCACATAATACGTGCAGAAAGAAGTATTTAGTAACATTAACTCTCTCAATAGATGTATAGATGAGTGAATAGGGGGAGAGAGGGAGAAAGAGAGAGGGAGGAGGGAGACAGACAAGGAGAGAGGTGGAAGGGAGAGAGGAGAGAGAGAGGGATAAAGGGAGGGAGAGAGGAGAAAGAGAGAGATTTGGCCTGTGGGCATGTTATCTCATAGTCTGCTGACCCCTCCTTTATCATATAAGTACACGAGTGGACTTGCTAGTTACAGGATGTGCACAGCATACTAGGTGATGCCAAACTGATTTTCAAAGACATTGTACCGATTTATACTTTTGTGAACTGTGTATGAGGGTACCTTTTACTCTCCATCCTTCCCATCACTATGTTCAGAGTTTTTAAAATATACATTGAGTTGGAGTCTTACTCTGTCGCCCAGGCTGGAGTGCAGTGACACACCCACGGCCACCCCAGCGTCGACCTGCTGGGCTCTGGCGATCCTTCTGCCTCAGCCTTCCAAGTAGCCAGAACTACAGGCGTGTGCTACCACGCTTGGCTAATTTTTTATTTACTGTAGAGATGAGGTCTTGCAAGTTGCCCTGGCAGGTCTTGAACCTGCAGGCTCAGGCAATCCACCCACCTCGGCCTCCCAAAGTTCTGGGATTATAGGCTGAGCCTCCGAGCCTGGCCAGAGTTTAATATTTTTAAATCAAAGGCATATGGGAAGACATCTCATCGTAGTTTTATTTTGCCTTTTCCTGGTTGACAATTAAGTACCTATCAATATGCATATTAACATTTGTCTTGCCTCTTTAGCTAGATTGTTTATGGGTTCTGCCCATTCTTCTGCAGCCTGCTTTTTTTTTTTTTTTGAGTTGGAGTCTCACTCTATCGCCCAGACTGGAGTGCAGTGGCATGCTCCCGGCCACCGCAGCATCGACCTGCTGGGCTCCAGTGATCCTTCCGCCTTAGTCTTTCAAGTAGCTAGAACTACAGGTGCACGCTACCACGCCCGGCTAGTTTTTGAAAAAAAATTTATTGTAGAGATGAGGTCTCGCCAAGTTGCCTGGGCGGATCTCGAACCCGTGGACTCAGGCAATCTACTCACCTCAGCCTCCCAAAGCACGGGATTACAGGCTGAGCCACCGAGCCTGGCTCTGCAGCCTGCTTTTAAAGATTGATTTGATTTTATAGAAGTCGTTAAAAAAATATTGAGTCTATGTCTACAGTTATTCCACCCTGAATGTGCCAGATCTGTTCTGATCTTGGAAGCTAAGTAGGGTCAGACCTGGTTAGTACATCGTTGGGAGTCTATTTTTTTGTCAGTTATATACACCATAATGTGCTTTTCCCTTTCTCTTTTTTTTTTCTTTTAACAATAGGGCCTCCCTCTGTCACCCAGGCTGCAGTGCTGTGGCATGATCATGGCTCACCCTGACCTCCAACTCCTGGGCTCAAGTGATTTCCCTGCCTCAGTTTCCCATGTAGCTGAATGTACAGGCATGTGACATCACACCTGGCTGATTTTTCTTTCTTTTTTTTTCTGGTAGAAACAAGGTCTCACTTTGTTGTCAAGGCTGATCTCAAACTCCAGGCCTCAAGCAATCATCCTGCCTCAGCCTCCAAAATTGCTGGAATTATAGGAATGAGTCACTGCATAACAGCAGATTCTCCATGGTTTCTTTTAATGGGTATACATTCTTAAGTTTAATTTGATTGAATGTATTAATCCTTTTCTTTAGGGTAAGTAGCTATTTATGTTGTTCTAGAAATCTCCTACTCCAGTGTCAAGATGGTCTTCTTCTGTATTGTCTTCTTAAACTCAAAATATTTTGCAATTAGACCTTTTTTTTGAGTTGGAGTCTCACTCCATTGCCCAGGCTAGGCTGGAGTGCAGTGGCATGCTCACGGCCACCCTGGTGTCGGC